TCATGATAAATGTAATATGCTTTGGAATTTGGAATTAAACTATAAAGAAAACTAAAAAGAAATTGAATAAAATTGACCTACAGGTATATCTATAGTCAACATGAATTATAGTTTTTTTTTTTTTTTTTTTTTCATGATTCTGCTTCTGTACAGTGAATAAGAGCACACATGTCTTCAGAAGAGGACAGTTAATCAAGACTAAGTGCAGAGTATTGATCAGAGAGAGAGAGAGAGAGAGAGAGAAGAAACTGGAAATACTTTTTTGATTTATCTACATAGATACACCATATGTGCACGAATGCAACAAACAAAAAGAGCTCTGTTCTGAAATATGCCATGATTAGTGTGATGAAATATAGAAATGAGCTCTGCACTGTGCTTGACAACACCAGGAACCATAAAGCTACTGTTACACCTGCAGATAACAGACATGATGCAAGTTTCATTTGTCCTCGCTGCAAGAAAAAATGCTGCAAGACGCAACACAATAATCTGCAGAACTTTGATTTGATTGTGCAGAAATTGTTCATTTTCACTTGATTATTTAAAAAAAAGATTAATTCAATTGTTAGCCTAATACTTGATTACCACCGTTTTTGTTAAATCAAATTTGTACTGAATCATAAAACCAGATTTTTTTTTTAAAAAGACAACAGCATTTCTGAAAAAAAAGAAAAAAAACATTTCATAGGGCCTCATTATTGTAAAAAATGTTTGTTAATGTTTTATTAAAAAAGTTTATAAATTAAATTGACCGTTCGCAAAGACCCGCCCCCCTTAGTTACTGTCGCTATGTCCGTTAAGCTACGCCGCTCTCACGCCGTCACCATGTTCTCACGCAGTGAAAAATACAACGCGGAGCAGAGAGGAGACTGCGACAACACGCTGACAGACAGGACAGACCAGGTTACTTTTCAGTTACTTTTGTTTAAATACATTTAAACAATAAATACCGTTTTGTGGCTCTTTAATGTGTCGCTGTAGAGCATCAGTTAAAGCTTCTCGTGATCCGATCATCTCTTCCTTCTAGTTCATTTATAGCATCAAATAAACATCAATGAACATAAGAAGGAATGTTGTTTTAACCGCAGAAAGGCATCAGTATATTCCATTTTTCAAGTGCAAATCCCCCCATGTTAATCTACTAACTCTCCTGACTGCTTTGTCGGACAAAATGGCGGATGGCGAAGTATGATTGGTCAGATCACCTGTCAATCAAGCTCCATGCGAAGGGTCAATTGATTAGACACGCTTTCTGATTTTTAATGTAATGTTTAATGTTAATGTTAAATGTAATTACACAATTAAAATGGAATACAGAAAAAAATAGATTCCAGAAAAAATAAAACGAACAAGATTTGGGGACTACAAATGTCACAAAAATATGATAAAAGATGCCAATTTTCAAATAATAATTAATAATAATTGCTTTTTCTACTAAAATTACCACAGTAAACAATTCTTCAGCCAAGTAATATAGTGCATTAGTAACTTAGCCATAACGACCCCTTTACAACGTTCATTAAAAACTTAAATAATAAAATAAACACGGAACATGACACAACATCCAAAAGAACATCTGGAGAACATCAGCTCTTTAATTCGATTTGTCTCCATTATATCGCATATGCGTGATCTGCATATTATTATAGATAAATACTTATATAAGAGGCAGAGTGAAGGCTACACACACACACACACACACACACACACACACACACACACACTAGCTCCTCTTAAATAAGCTCAAATCTACCCACACATGTGCTGTACCTGCTGCCAAAACAATAAACTCATCCATACCCATAGAGATCACTGAATAATACAACAACAGTCTCTACCCACACACACACACACACATCCAAAAACCATCAAACAAGCACGACACAGTACGGTATCGCTGGCAGACGCCACCCAACCACCCACATTACACACACACACACACACACACACACACACACAAACTCATTACAAGGAAAAAACCCTCCCTCGCATCAAAGGGTGTAAAAAAGCATCTTGTCGTCTCTACAGCGTGTGACTACAGACAGAAGCGTGTGGGTACAAAGACAGAGATGAATAATAGAGAATCTCGTGCGCTTCTACATGGACTCGGTTTAAAGACAGCAGAGGTGATCTCAACAGAAAGACCCCTGCAAACCGTCCAATATCATCAGTGGATTATGCTCTAAGAGTATACCAGAATGCACTGCAACAAGCTTGCTGAAAAAGTTTATATCTAAATATACACAAATTCAGCATCATTACTCCAGTCTTCAGTAGCCAAGTTTCCATCCACTTGTCAATCGAATCATCTGAAGTTCGGTAAAAAACCTCATGCGAATAAAGCTGGTGAAAGTGTGTTTCCATCAAACGGCTTTAAAGCGGATAAAAATGTGCGTAATGACGTCACATCCTGTTTTGCGATCAAATTGGTATATCGAATTGATTTGAGACATGTTAAGGTGTTTTCCATTCATTTTCTCACCGAATTGCAAGCGAACAAAGTTTTGCTAGGCCAAATGGATCGCACCATAATAACGTTTCCATCCGCGTTTATCGCATAAGCCGTATATCCGATGAGACCGATCGTATTTCATTTGAGTCGATATTCATGAAATTCAATCGAATTTTACTGTTTCCATAAGGCATTTTTCATTCGATATCACTTAATGCGGATAAAAACGTGTGGATGGAAACATGGCTAGTGTCACATGATCCTTCAGGAATCAGTCTAATATGATGATTTGCTGCTCAACAAACATTTCTGAGTATCAGTGTTGAAAACAGTATTTTTGTGGAAACCGTGATACATTTTTCTCAGCATTCTTTAAAGCTGCAGTCCGTAGTTTTTTCCTCTTTGTCGCCATCTCTGTTCGAAATCTGCAATTGCAGTCATTCGCGGAATTATCAACTTTACGTGAGTTGTGCCTCGGCTCGGCACAGCGCGGATGAACACAGTGTTTGAGGAGAGTGTGTGGCTGTCAGTCACCGTGCCGGTGTGGATACTGGCTTTCGCAATCACAGATTATACTTTTTGGAAGTATGACCAACATATGAATTTTCACCGGAAAATGTCATCAGAACAAGTAAGTAACATCCACTTTACTTACCAAAGCTACACACTCCATCTATTAGGGTTAGAAGAACTGTTGACTATATAACATGCTAAACAAGCTATAATTAGGGGTGTAACAATATATATCGTGTCACAATATATCACAATACAAAAATGTAACATTATGTATCGTGGATAGTGACAATCTGTATTGTGGATAGTTCACCCAAAACAAAAATTACAGTGTGAGAAAAAATTCACGTTTGCAGAGTTTTAGTGTCAGTACTACATTAAACTACTATATATAATGTTGAATATGATGTATAATAATGCAATGGGGGAATATTTGTGTGTCCTGATAATGCCAAATGTCTGATGTTACCAGTAAAAAGTGTCCTACATTATTTTAAATATATCTAGTCAGAGACAGAGATCAAGCATATTCGTCTAAAATAATTCTGTGTTTTCAGCTTCAGAATCATGAATATTGTTATTCTGGTGTCTCTATTGTCCTGTGCTGTGTGTTTCCAGCACAAGTCCAAGACTATTCACAGAGCTGCCAACTCTCACGCATTGGCCGTGAGACACACGCATTTGATTGGTTTCACACGCTCACACGCCACACCCCAGATTTCTCACGCTGAAGTGTCAACCTGGTCGGTCAAATGCCTGGAAGATGAGTTTATCTACAGAGCTACCTGTTGAGCCACTCGTGATCGACTAGTTATGCCGCAAATTAGTTAAAATCTCCCGAAATCTGGAGCGGGTTTGCTCCAAACCAAACCCTCCAAACCAAACCAAACCAAACCCTCACGGCAGAGAGGGAAAGCGAGTGTTGGAGAATGTCATCATGCCCCCAAAAGTCGGAAAAGTCTCACTCCAAGCTAAACTCAAAAGTTGGCAGCTATGTATTCATTTACACCACCAATGTAATATCACATGTTAGCCTGGATACCAGCCCGAACCCCGCCCACAACATTATTTGGTCGGGAAGTTCGGTCTGGACTCGATCTATTGAGGAGTAATTACAATCGGTTCAGAATTAGTCGGGCCAATCAAATTGCCAGGGCGGGCTTTATACGATGATGGACAGATGATCTGCAGTTACGTAATCATCACGTTATCAAAGAGCGCTTGGGTTGAACTGGTTTCCCTCAGAGATGACTGCAGCTGGAGAACTGAGATGTAGAGATTCCGCTATCGCGTCTGTTGTAGAAGAAATCGACAGCGCATTCATTTTAAAAGACGAACAGAGAACTGCAATCAAGGCATTTGTCGATCGGAAAGATGTGTTTGGCGTCCTTCCTATGGGATTCAGCAAAAGTTTAATTTATCAGCTGGCTCCGATGGTCGCTAAGAAGATGGGACGCAATGAAAACCTTGTGGTCGGTGTGGTTTCTCCTTTGGTCGCACTCATGGAGGACCAAGTAAAAGAAGCAACACTTATTATTTTACTACTTCTTCCAACATCCGTGTAGTTGAGTTCTGTTGACAATTTGCGTAGCTTATAAAAACACACTTACTGCGTTGCTCTGATTGGTTGTAGGTCTATCCAATTGAGTGCAGAGGGTTTTGTTTTCCTGGTTCGGTTAAGACACGCCTCATAATCAAAGCCCTATGGAGCCGTATCAGACTCACATTCTGACTAGAATATGAGTATGACGAAGTCAGGCTAATCAAATGTAGCATTTTAATCAACATTAAAAAAAATGTCTTGTAGTACTGCGTGAGTTCAGTATGGTGATCTGTATCGAATCGTGACATGAGGGTATCGTTACACCCCTAATAATAACCACTGCAATAATGATCCAATCATAGACTCTCAAGCATTTGCCTGTTTAAATCCAAACAGACACTTTTGTTTTTGCCCGGGCAGTGTGTTTTCAGATCAAATATCCAAACTAACTGGCCAGTTTCAGACTGTAAAACACGTTCGATCACTCACCCAGCCACCCGGCTCCTGAGTTCGGCACACACATGTCGGTCTCGGCGCTGGGCAGCACGAAGCCCACGACGAACACCTCCACGCCGTCAGACATGAGCGCCAGGCCCAGCACGAAGAACAGCTGCCACTGGAAGCGCCCGTGTCCACACTCCTGGATGATGAGCTCGTACTGCTGCGCCAGCTCCTCCTCATCCGCCTCTCTCTCCTTCTCCAGCTCTCGCTTATCCTTCACTCCATCTGCCGCCAGCTGGCCCCGCCCCCCTGAAGCCCCGCCCCCCGCCGGCACGCCCTGGTACTCGCCCTCGTAGATCTCGTCCTCGTCGTCGTGGCCCTCGGTGGCGTCGCTGGAGCCCTCGTCCTCGTCTCGCTGAGCTCCACCGTCCTGATAGTTGTAACCGTCTTCGTTCACACCCTCGTCTTCGTCGTTCTCGAAGCGGCTGTAGTTGCGTCCCGAGGCGTACTCGTCCGAGGCTCGGTCCACCACTTTCCCGACCTTCTTTACGGCGTGCCGTTTCGCCTCTTTGGCGATGTCGCGAGCGCCTTTGGCCAGAGACGTCCTTTCTCTGTACGGGTCCTCCATCTTCACTGATGTGGATGGTTGCAGGAATCAAACGTGAGTTTTACAGGCCGAGTTTAAGTTCACTGAAGGCTGGTTTAGAGACGGACAGGAGAGTGTGACGTTTCCTTCGGACTGACCGCTTCATTCACTGTGGGAGAAACAAACACAGGCAGGTTTTCATTCTGTGCAAAAGGGAACAAAATTATAATTACTAATTCACTCAACAATAAGCAAACATAAAAAAAACTATATGTGTATAATTTATAAAAAAATAATTAATAAACTAAAATAAACACAATTTTATACAGTATATGTGTGTGTGTAATAAAAAATAATTAAAATAAAATATTTTTATACAAGGTATAACCAAACACAAAATTATTTTTAATTATTTATATATAAATATTAAATAAAATGCAAGATATAACCAAAAAAACATTGTATTGTTAAATTAAATATATATATATATATATATATATATAAAACCATAAACTAATATATAATCCTATAATAATTATATATATAGTCCTATAAATATATATATATAAACAAACTAAATTGAAAGTAAAATAAAAATATATATATATTTATAATAATAAAATTTTATATATTAGGTACAACCATAAACAAAATTAGTTTGAACTACTTATTACCTATATTACCTATATTATATATAAATATTAAATACAAAAATTAAGATATAACAAAAATAAAAATACTGTATGTGTTTATATATATATATATATGTATATAGAAGAAGAGAGAGAGAAACAATTACAAAGTATTCAAATATTATCACTATGAATTAAGAATAAATTTCAGTGCATTTCAGATCTGAATTAGTTGGTTATTTTTGTTTTGAACAGATTATGTGAAAGCGCTGTAATCTCAGGTGCTCCTGCTCATGTGGAGAAGCCATAAATCAGGCTGGCACAGCGGGCAGAGGAGAGGACACTGTGCCCAGTGTAACCCATCGGCTCTGCGTTTCCCTGCTCTGCTTCACACCCTCCACAGGGAGTCGTGTGGACATTACCCGGACAGAGTTATGGAGAAGAGAATCTCCACATGATGCAGACACTATACACTGAGACTTCACACACACGTGCATCTCTGATACACAGAAACTCACAAACACTGCAGTGCAGCACCATTCCTCTCTCAGACAGAGACACACACACTCATCTCGCTTTTATCTCCTCAAATCTGAAAAATAAACACAAACACACACACACACAGTCTTTCTTCCCCCCCTGGAAATTATCAGTCAGTCTCACAGATAATATCTCAGAGAAAGGGCCGGAATGAGAGAGAATATTCCATCTATTCTATTCTATTCTATGTATAAAGAGGATAATGAGAATTGAGATTACAGTAAAGGTTCCAAATAGAACCAGAACATTCTAAAATCTTTTGAAGTTCAAAAAAAAAAAAAAAAAAACCTTTTTAAATATCCTTTAGTTCTGGTATTTTAAAACCCCTGAATCCAAAACACAAAACGTCAAGAAAGATATAGCAACTATAGAACAATATACAGCCAAAAATGTTTTTTTTTTAATAAGAAAAGGGTTGAACACATGATCAACCGAAGAACCTTTATTTTGCAGAATGTTTCCTGAATCTCAATTCGAGCTGACATTTGATAACTGCGGCTGAATTTCAGCATATTCTGGCCAATATGCTGATCATCATTAGAATATGATTAATATTCATTAACTCTGGCATTTGGAACTCAAATCTTAAGAGCCTTGAGCCACAGAAACAAGACCCATTAAAGACATGTCTGAAGGCCCGTTCACACCAAGCACGATAACTATAAAGATAACGATAAAGATATAATTCTAAAAATCGTTCTCCATATAAAAGAATAACAGAGTTCACACCACAACTATAACGATAAAGATATGAGGAACGATATCGTTGGGATCACTTTCAGAACGATTTTTTTTCAGCTGTCGAACGATAAAACACTGACAGCCAATCAGAATCCATTCTAATTTAAAGGTCTACTTTGAAACCGCAGCGCGGGCGCGCCCGTGCCTAGAATAAAAAGACAGTTATCAGTCGTTGGTGTGGACGCATATATAGTTATCTTTATCGTTATCTTTATAGTTATCGTGCTTGGTGTGAACGGGCCTTGAGAATAAAGACTCACACAAACCACACCAATATATATATATATATATAAATAAAAAAAACATTCATAGAAATGTATTAAAAATATTTTTCAGAGTTGAAAAAAAATACCATTTCCAGTCTTTCTACGTCAAATTTTTATGTTTAATTCAACATGTTGCCATTTCTTTGTAATTATTATTAGTTAAATGTAATAATCTTTTTTTTCAGTGCACTAATAAAAGTGTGCGCACAAAAATACTGATTGGAGATTCCTCAACAATTCGGTTCTTTTCAATGAACTGGTTCACACACTCTAAACGAGTCATTTATTAAAACGTGTTAAATTAAAACGTGTGGGAACGCATGAAGACGGAATGGAAAGATCTGATTGGCTGCTGATCTGATTGGCTACTGATCTGATTGGCTGCTGATCTGATTGGCTGCTGATCTGATTGGCTGCTGATCTGATTGGCTACTGATCTGATTGGCTGCTGATCTGATTGGCTGCTGATCTGATTGGCTACTGATCTGATTGGCTGCTGATCTGATTGGCTGCTGATCTGATTGGCTACTGATCTGATTGGCTGCTGATCTGATTGGCTGCTGATCTGACTGGGCTGTTCCAGTGGTGTCGTGTGTTCGGCCTCTTTCCTGAAGAATCAGCCAAACCTTCGTCTGTCCAGATTCAGCCAAAACAGAAGCATGATTCTCCAAGAGTCGTGCGTTTCACCGGCCCCCGATACTGTCAGAGACGCTCATTAATCACAGATGAGGAGCGCGAAGAAAACGTGACCAATGTTAACATTCAAATGATGTATCCATGATCCATCTAAAAACGCTCGGAAAAGTCAACACGGCACGTCCGGAACGCTGCGGCAATACAGACCTAAAAAAAAAAAGACCCGCAAATCATGACATCATTTAGTCCGAGACCAAATAAAGGCTGTTCCGGCTGTCCCTATGACATCATTAGAGGGGTGATGTAATCAATGCGACACCCGTTTTTCTGCATTAACCCCCGATGTGAGCGCGGGAGGGGGAGGAGGAGAGGAACAAACTCACGGGACGCTGCGACACAGTTTGACCCTCCATAAACCACTGATGGAGCTCAGAAGAACAGTGAAGTCACACACACCTCAGGATCTACACTGGAAACTCGCGTCATTTCGCTTCTCTAGTAAATGCCTCTTGATTTGGAAAGGTTCCGATGTGTGTCCTGGAAAAGACAGATTTTTGTGCTGGTGTTTCACGAGGTGTTTCAAGAGTGAATGATTATTAAGTTGCACACACAAGGTCGCGCTGTATTCTAGTGTCCCTGATTCCACACACTTCACCTTGCGGAAAACAGATCCGTGGTTAACCAGACTCAGTGGTTTAGTGGAAAGCTGATGAATAACTCCTTACAGAACACCACACACACACACACACACACACGTATATCCTGCAGTAATGTAATGATGGATAGCTGAAGGCTTCACTGGTCACTGGGACTCACCAGCAGCTGTGGGGGTTTCATAGTGGACGCCTGCACAGATTGTATGAACGCAGTGGAGTGTGTGTGTGTGTGTGTGTGTGTGTGTGTGGCCTCCTGGGAAACCCTACATTATGGGGACAATGATGCCACAAAGATGGCAATATCAGAAATCCTTGTCCTAGATTTAGGGTTTAGAGTTAGTGTAATGGGAGAGAAAATACAGTTTGTACAGTATAAAAATATTTTGAATAAAACATGAAAACCCAGGTGTGTGTTTGTGTGTGTGTGTGTGTGTGTGTGTGTGTGTGTGTGTGTGCGTGTGCTTGTGTGCGTTTGCGTGTTTGTGTTTGTGTGTGTGTGTGTGTGTGTTTGTGTGCGTTAGTGTGTGTGTGTGTGTGTGTGTGTTTGTGTGCGTGTGTGTGTGTGTGTGTGCGCATGTGTGTGATGTAGACAGATTACTACAGTTTGATCTACATCCGCTACAGTAAAAGCTTTACATACCGAGTACAATCTATACAAGATGATTTTATTATTTACTGAAATAAATAGATAGTTTTGTTAAGTGAAAGAATCCTGTAGAATTGATTTTGGAGAAATTGCACCCTCTAAAGAGTTGGTGCAGTTGTTAAATAATAGAATATATTTAAAATATTAAATCATACAGGTCCTTCTAAAAAAATTAGCATATTGTGATAAAGTTCATTATTTTCCATAATGTAATGATAAAAATTAAACTTTCATATATTTTAGATTCATTGCACACCAACTGAAATATTTCAGGTCTTTTATTGTTTTAATACTGATGATTTTGGCATACAGCTCATGAAAACCCAAAATTCCTGTCTCAAAAAATTAGCATATTTCATCCGACCAATAAAAGAAGTGTTTTTAATACAAAAAAAAAAGTCAACTTTCAAATAATTATGTTCAGTTATGCACTCAATAGTCAATACTTGGTCGGGAATCCTTTTGCAGAAATGACTGCTTCAATGTGGCGTGGCATGGAGGCAATCAGCCTGTGGCACTGCTGAGGTGTTATGGAGGCCCAGGATGCTTCGATAGCGGCCTTAAGCTCATCCAGAGTGTTGGGTCTTGCGTCTCTCAACTTTCTCTTCACAATATCCCACATATTCTCTATGGGGTTCAGGTCAGGAGAGCTGGCAGGCCAATTGAGCACAGTAATACCATGGTCAGTAAACCATTTACCAGTGGTTTTGGCACTGTGAGCAGGTGCCAGGTCGTGCTGAAAAATGAAATCTTCATCTCCATAAAGCTTTTCAGCAGATGGAAGCATGAAGTGCTCCAAAATCTCCTGATAGCTAGCTGCATTGCCCCTGCCCTTGATAAAACACAGTGCACCAACACCAGCTGCTGACATGGCACCCCAGACCATCACTGACTGTGGGTACTTGACACTGGACTTCAGGCATTTTGGCATTTCCTTCTCCCCAGTCTTCCTCCAGACTCTGGCACCTTGATTTCCGAATGACATGCAAAACTGAGCAACAGTCCAGTGCTGCTTCTCTGTAGCCCAGGTCAGGCGCTTCTGCCGCTGTTTCTGGTTCAAAAGTGGCTTGACCTGGGGAATGCGGCACCTGTAGCCCATGTCCTGCACACGCCTGTGCACGGTGGCTCTGGATGTTTCTACTCCAGACTCAGTCCACTGCTTCCGCAGGTCCCCCAAGGTCTGGAATCGGTCCTTCTCCACAATCTTCCTCAGGGTCCGGTCACCTCTTCTCGTTGTGCAGCGTTTTTTTGCCACACTTTTTGCCACACACAGACTTCCCACTGAGGTGCCTTGATACAGCACTCTGGGAACAGCCTATTTGTTCAGAAATTTCTTTCTGTCTTACCCTCTTGCTTGAGGGTGTCAATGATGGCTTTCTGGACAGCAGTCAGGTCGACAGTCTTACCCATGATTGCGGTTTTGAGTAATGAAACAGGCTGGGAGTTTTTAAAAGCCTCAGGAATCTTTTGCAGGTGTTTAGAGTTAATTAGTTGATTCAGATGATTAGGTTAATAGCTCGTTTAGAGACCCTTTTCCTGATTTGCTAATTTTTTGAGACAGGAATTTTGGGTTTTCATGAGCTGTATGCCAAAATCATCAGTATTAAAACAATAAAAGACCTGAAATATTTTAAGTTGGTGTGCAATGAATCTAAAATATATGAAAGTTTAATTTTTATCATTACATTATGGAAAATAATGAACTTATATATACGAGAACTTATATATACGAGAAGGACCCGTATATATAAAGAGGATCATGAGAATTAAGATTAACAGTAAAGGTTCCAAATTGAACCAGAACATTCTAATCTAAATCATAGAAGAATCTTTCAAATGACGTGAGACTATATGTAATATTTGTACATATATAAATTCGTTTGACACACCACAGGACACCATTTCAGTCAAATTTAAAAAGCTACAAAAAATAATACAAAATGGTGAAGTTGTTACATTTCAACCTAAAATCTCGATAATAAATAAAAATCATTTGCATGCTATAAAACATCATTTGCAACAACTCAAACGTCAGTGCAGCTACTCCGTGTTCTGTGTGTAAAGTGAACATCTGTGCTTTTACTGAGAGAGGTTTGAAGGAACAGACTACAGGGGTCAAAGGTCACATGTTATATGCGCTGGGGGACACTTTGTCTGATCCACTTCACTGATCAGCTGACACACACATATAAGAGTGTGTGTGTGTGTGTGTGTGTGTGTGTGTGTGTGTGTGTGTGTGTGTGTGTGTGTGTGTGTGTGATAAAACTGATGCATCTGAAACCATATCCCTATCTATCTATCTATCTATCTATCTATCTATCTATCTATCTATCTATCTATCTATCTATCTATCTATCTATCTATCTATCTATCCATGTGTGTGTGTGTGTGTGTGTGTGTGTGTGTGTGTGTGTGTGTGTGTGTGTGTGTGTGTGTGTGTGATAAAACTGATGCATCTGAAACCATATCCCTATCTATCTATCTATCTATCTATCTATCTATCTATCTATCTATCTATCTATCTATCTATCTATCTATCTATCTATCTATCTATCTATCTATGGTAAAGGGTAAATGGACTGCATTTATATAGCGCTTTCACAGACCCAATGGCCACCAAAGCGCTTTACATTTGCCTCACATTCACCCATTCACACACTCATTCATACACCAACGGCGGTGTATCTATCTGTCTGTCTGTCTATCCATCTCTCTGTCTGTCTGTCTATCTATCTATCTATCTATCTATCTATCTATCTATCTATCTATCTATCTATCTATCTGTCTGTCTATCTGTATGTCTGTCTGTCTGTCTATCCATCTCTCTGTCTGTCTATCTATCTATCTATCTATCTATCTATCTATCTATCTATCTATCTATCTATCTATCTATCTATCTATCTATCTATCTATCTATCTATCTATCAAATTATCCCTTGTTTTATTTCCTAAGGCACACCAGCTTTACCTAAGGACCAGTTCACTGACACACACAAGCAAACACACACACAGATGTGCCGGTTCAAACTGGTCAACACTGAGATTTCTGCTAAAGCGCTGCAGTGAAGGTATCAGATGCTAATACTACGGTATTTTGAGGAATACTGTAGTCCTGAATGATTGCCACCATTGCCAATGTTTTGTTGTTTTTACAGTACAAGGTATTTCAAAAGAATACCTTGTTACCACCATAATACATAACAGTATTCATAACAGTATTAAGGAACATGTCCAAAAAGCCATAGCTACTTATTTGTTAGTGCACTTTACCGTAGTAAAGCAACATTTTCTGTTGCAGGACAGTCCTATAGTTGTGTATTCACCGCATCAGTCTCCAGTCTCTCCTGTGAGGCAGGTTGTTTCACGCACCGCAGCTTTCACCCTTTTACTAGCACTGGGAGAAAAGTCATCGGTCTGCGTGTGAATGGCCAGCACAAGCGGGAAAAGGCATCAATCACGGCCCGGCTCTGACGCAAGCTCGCCCCGTAATGAGATTTCGCCTGTCTTGACATTGTGCATGGGAATCAATCCCCCTCCCTCTCCGTTTTATCTTTCCGTCACACACACATCTGCTCCACGAGCCTCCATGACTCACATTTTCAGGTGGATTTCTTTCTGCTTGTGACAGTCACGCACATTTTGTCAGGAAACAAGTTCCTAAAGTGAATCTCTCTCTCTCTTTTAATAATCCAGGACACCACCAGGAGCCCCCGAGAATCTTAACACACACACACACACACACACTATATATCTTCTCCAGTATTAAGAACAGTCTTTTTAATGACCAATACTTAAATGAATAGTTCACCCAAAAATGTTGCCATTATTTACTCTCACTTAACACAAAAGTAAAGAATCTTTATCATGCAAAATGGTTCACAAGCTCCCAAAAAAAAAAGAGAGAGAACTGATCATAAAAGTAGTCCATGCAACTGTATTCCCTGCCTTCTGAAGTCATTTATTGCTTTGCATGAGGAATATAATGACATCTTAGTCACTATTCATTGACAAACTTCTCAGATCAAATAAAGAACTGCTAGATGTGTCAGTGGCGTTTGGTCACATGACATGCGAGAACCAATGAGGTTGTTGGATGTTGCTGGCATCACTCCTGCCATATTTAATTCGAGGTCCTCCTCACACAAAGTTATTGCATGACTTCAAAAGGCTTAGAAAATAGTGCATGAGTCATATTGATGATTTTTGAACTACTTTTGTCTGTTGTTTTTGGTCCTATACAGACATTGTTACTACTGTTACTGTATGGGAAAATCTGCATAGACTAAATTATCACTTTGTGTTCCACAGAAAAAAAAAATAACATCAGCATACAGGCTTTGCAATCTTGAATAGTTGGTCTATATATTGCATCTACATCTATAGTGCACACCTGTTAAATTCCATATTAAAAGATCAAGTTCTATAATCCACGACAAAAATCCATACTAACACAGTCTTATTTAATTCGTGAACAACTATCAAACACATAAGTGTGTGTGTGTGTGTGTGTGTGTGTGTGTGTGTGTGTGTGTGTGTGTGTGTGTGTGTGTGTGTGTGTGTGTCAACTGTTACCCATTGAGAGACAAATTCCTTTTGCTGTTTTAAAGCAAAACCAATATTTAAACCTGCATGACTAAACTAAAATATTAATATTAATCTAAAACAGATGAATGAATTTGATGAATTTACGCAGGTAAATTCTTTTTAGTAAAAACACAATTTCACGTCACGATCTTCATGGGAAAAAGTGAATCGACAGAAAAATAAAACGGGTTCTAACGGGAAGCGTTCACACGGGGCGCATTCTGCTTTAATTGCCTATTAACGTCCATAAGAGTCAGACTGGGGCGTTTGCGTCGTGTTTGTAATATGTGGTGTCAAGTTAAAAACAGTTCAACTTCTCCGCTCCGTTTTCACGCTGAACGCAACAACGCGTCCGTGTGAACGTTCCCTGTGCGCAACCAAAGTTTATTTCACGCTTTTGACTCGTGCGTAAACCTAAAAAAAATAAAAATTAATCACTTACCGACTGTTTGTGAGTCCAGAGTTCACGGGCGCGCGGCTATCCGAGCGCGGGAACGCAGATCTTCCTTTAGCGTTTTTTTCTCTCTCCTCACAATGCAGCAGCAGCGCGTCTCTCTGCAGCACTTGAAGAAAAGCTGAGAAGAAGTGATGGAGAGAGAGAGAGAGAGAGAGAGAGAGAGAGAGAGAGAGAGAGAGAGAGAGAGAGAGAGAGAGAGAGAGAGAGAGAGAGAGAGAGAGAGAGAGAGAGGGAGGGGGCGACCGAGAGAGAGAGAGAAAGAGATGAAATCAATAGTTGTATCGCGGCAGCCCCGCTCAATGTGACGCGACGCGGGGCGGGGGAGAAGAATGAGCGAGTATATCATAGTGAGTATATACTATGACTGTATGCGTGGATATGAACACCCCCACCCACCCGTGACGCATTGCTCTTTCTCCGCAAGTCACGATTCTCTGGAGGCTCTAGGGCTTTTTCCTGCATTGTTGGGGTGACTCGTGTTTAAGTGTTTTTAACTTTCTGTGATACTCACGCCTCAGAGGAACAATCACCCAAAGAAAAAACCCTATGCGGCACTCGGGTTCTGATTGAGGCTCGTCGTGATTGAACTCCCGCCAGGCAGGAGATGAGATGGAATCTTGATGGATTCAAGCGGTTTACGCGGGAAAGGCGAACATGGAACTCTCCGTGGTGCTGAGGAAAACACACATCCATATAAAACAAACAATACAGAAGCAAAAAAGAAAAACCTTACAGAAACACATCAAGTTTGCACAGAATACAGAACTATACAGAACCACATCAGATCAGATCAAATATAAAACAGACCTTACAGAACCATACAGAACAAATCCCGCAGAAACACATAGATCAGATGCATTCATAAAACTGAACCACGTAGACTGAACCAAACAGATTGGATTAACACAAAATATATCTCCTCAGAAGAACTAACCATATACACCAGATCCACTCCGAACCAAACAGAATAACCCTACAGAGCCGCATCAGATTTGAAATAAACAGAATAAATACTTAGAACTGCACAGATTAGATGCATAAAACAGACTTAACAGAACTAGACAGAACAATCCCTTCAGAACATCTACGTAGAACAACACAGAATCACATAGATCAGATTCATATAAAACAGAGCTTACAGAACCACACAGAACAGATTCACTCTGACTCACACAGAACAAACCCTACAGAACCACAGACTATATCCATATTAAACAGACCTCACAGAACCAGATCAGATAAACAGAGCTTAGAGAACCATTTACTGTAGAACAGATCCACTCAGAACCAAACAGATTAGATGCATAAAAACCCTACAGAACCGTTGAATAATACAGAATAGTTGTGCTAGGCCAGTGAAAGCACACTGCCAGTTAGTGTAGCGGGTCGATGCACGGTACGTTTGAGCATGAGGTTGCGGTTTCACACACTCATTCCAACATTATATAAAATATCCAATTGGATTTAGTTTTTTTATAATATCCCATGAGTCCTAATACGGCGCACATAAGAAGGTATATCTTAAAGCTGCAGTCCGTAGCATTTTTTGGGTTAAAAATTATCCAAAATTCATATTTGAGCAAGTACATAACCAGCCAGTGTTCAACGCTATCTGCTTGCCTTAGCTCGATTCAAAGCGGTAAGCTTGTAATAATGTTTTAAACTCCAGTGGTACTGGTGGATTTCCGCGGGAGATTCGAGCATGTCTTTGCGTCATTACATCACATCTGTACACACACATCTGTACACACACATCTGTACACATGAAGGAGGAGTCTCGGCTAGAAGGCTATGTGTGTGAGGATGCTGGAGGTGGAGATTTATAGCCTTTTCTCACAGCACTTGATATAATTAAACTTATTAATTTGGTGGTGGATCCAGAAATGTTCAAACGACAATCACCAGCGACAACAGATTCACCCGCTGTAAAATGCAAAAGACTTTGGACTGAGAGTTTGGAAAAAGAGACTGCAACCGGACCCATGCGAAAACAAGGATAATATCGGAAGGACATTACATGTAAGCAGCCTCCTAAAGCCCCGTTCACACTACACGCGACCAAGCGACGCGGTACCATTCATTTCAATGGTGAGCGGGCGACTTCCGGCGACACGCGCGACAGCGACCGTTGGCGACTAGATGGGGCGTGTCTGGCGACGCGACAAAGTTGAGAAATTTTTAACTTTATGCAAATCAAGAGCGATTTTCGCGAGCGACAACCAATAGGAGTGGAGCGCACATGATCCTTCTCCTCAGCCCCTGGGCCTGCAGTGATGGATGGCAAGAAAGCTGATTCGCTGTCTTTTGGATGTCATACTAGTCAACCAGTAGTGGGAACGCCCACTAGCGACCTCATCGCCAGCGACTGGCGACTTGCAGCGATAAAGTCGCGTGTAGTGTGAACGGGGCTTAAGGTCTGGTACAGGGAACAAGCCTAGAAATGGTATACCTTTAATTAAGTTATACCTTTAGAGTCTTCGTAGCGCACTAAGAGGCAACGTTATCAGGAAATCCAGCCCAGATCCTTATAAAACACACCTTGTAGAACCATCTAGAACAGAACCACATAGATCAGATGCATAAAAATAGACCCTACAGAACTAGACAGAACAAATGAACCACATCAGACGTTATACAGAACAGATCCTCTCAGAATCATATAAAACAGACCCTACAGAAACAGACCCATAAATAACAGAACCACACACAGAGAACAGAATGATATCAAACACAGAATGATTTCACAGAGGACTCTGTTCGTGATCACTTGACCTCTGACCTGTGACGTCAGCTGGTATCAGGAGCTTCACAGTTTCAGCTGGAGTTCACAGCACAGACTTTAACACAGGAGTTCTGATGGGTTTTCAAGTAAGTGTCCATTAACATCACAAAGGCATAAAACGAAGATGAGGGGCATGTGTGAAACGAGGAGTGTTTTGTGTTTTGTTCCGAGCTAAAACGGTTCCCCGGAGAGCTGTTGGGAGAGACATCATCACACATCCTATCCGGCCTGGAAAGAAACCACCGAACTCTCTGAATGATCCTCTCCTCCTCTTGGAAATCTTGAGATGTTGAAGAAGCAGGAAGGAAGAGTGCAGGGTTCCCTGCTCATTCTAACGGCCGCAATAAATATGCTAATGCTCACATTCACTTCCAGCACCAGCTGTGCAGAGCTCTTCAGCTCAAACGGGCACTGAGAAAGTTTCCCTCTCTCTTCAGATTCAAGAAAGTTTACTGGCACGGCAAAAAAAGCTTTACATTGCCAACGTGTTAGTAAGATTATACTGTATTCACACAGATTAATGGCTGATTGCTAAAGACTTTTTTATTGGCTGATTTAATTACATGTATGCAGTATTACTGAATTAGTGAAAAAGACTGCATAGAAAAAAATATTTTCAATATGTTGTATTTTATATATATATATATACTCACACACTGATAAACACACACCCATTTTATATATACACAAGCACATGAAGATTCAATGTAATTCAATAAAAACGTTTTAAACGTGCAACATTGTTGACATGCTGTTTTACTGGTGTCCCTATAATAATTAGCATGCTCTCTTTGATTTGAATAACTCCGCCTCTAATCCACTTAAGACTTTTCCTGTGAGTGTGAGAGGCGGGCCTGTTTCCATGGTGATGACATATTGATCATAGCCTGGAGCAAAGGGTTGTGGGACAGAAATCAGTCGGTCCCTTGTGTGAGGAGCTGATGATCAGATAATCTATAAACATCATTTAACCAAAGGGAAAACTAACAAAAACATCATGCTTCAAATTAACACACTGAACGTACAATTCCTGAGGGGGAAAAAGTGTGTGTGTGTGTGTATATACACTGTTTCTGTACTGCCTAACACCTCTTTCCCACTTCTGTCTGTATTATGGTGTATTTTAAACTGAAAAAGTGCAAACTTAGTTGTAGATAGCAACACGATGTTCTGAAATCTCTCTCTATCATTATCTGAACATGTGATATTGGTTTTAATTGATATGCAATTACGTGCATCAGTGGGCAACTAATTTCATGCAAATAACCTGAAAAACAGGGAGCTGTTAGTTAAGTGTGTGTGTGTGTGTGTGTGTGCGCACATCACACCTGCAGGGCTGATGCTGAAGACCCCAGTGGGTGGATGGGAAGGGTGTAATTGGTGCCTGTTTAAATTCCCCTGCCTGCCAAAACATTCACTTTCTGCATGCAAACTTTGGGAAATTATGCTTCTCATTACGCCACAGTCTCCACACACACACACACACACACACACACACACACACACAGATCTGCTTTAAGCTTCAAAAAAAACTTGCTTACCTTTGATCACGCCTCACTTAAAGACGGCCCGTATTTCTCAAAGGTGAAATGCACGATTTGACTCGTTGAAGAAGCAACAACAAATCTGCAAAAGTAAAATTTGCTGGAAAATCCATTTTGAACACATTTAAAATATACATCATACATTACCTGCATACATACATTAAAGAAAGTATAGTATATATATACATAAAGCTATGTAGGCCTATATATATATATACAGTATAGACACACTAACAAATGTCAACTGGTTGATAGTTTATGTTGTCACAAAGTGTAATTATATTATCGGCCAGCTCTAACCTGCTAAATAGGACTAGAAGGCATGAAGATATTAAGATATTATAAATGTCTTTGCTTTGAAACAGTGTGTGCTGTGAAAAGTGCAATATATGAATTGTGCATGTTAGCACAGTTAAAGGGTGAGCCTTAATCATGGTAAAAATCACTGTAATTATGCCTGGGTGACATAATGGCAGAAAAATAAAAGGAATATTAAACGCTGACATTGTCTGGACCTGGAGAAAGGACTTCTTCCGTGAGCCTCCACACATGCTGTATTTTTCTCAGTCTTTCTGATGTAATTAACCTTGCGTCTCCTCTGTCTCTCTGTCTGACCCTGAGAGATGCTGATTTACCCTCGCAGACAGAGCTAACATTTACAGTGTTGTTCTTACTGTGTGTGTGTGTGTGTGTGTCCAGTGTTATCTGTGAAACTCAGAGCTGGATTTAAGTGTGTCAAAGCAGTAATCAGTGCAACAGGGGTCAGAGGTCAGAAGAGAAAGCAGAGGAGTGAACTTAAACCAATAGCAGACAGGGGGCGGAGCTAAAGGGCAGGAGGAGGGGCCAGTACGATCTTTACTTTAAATTAAATTAACACTTTTATTCAGCAGAAGTGGCAGTAAAGACATAACAAGACAAGGTATCACGGTTTCCACACAGATATGAAGCAGCACAACTGTTTTCAACATTGATAATAATCAGAAATGTTTCTTGAGCAGCAAATCGTCA